GCGAGCTGCAATTTGGCGCTGTGGCGGTGAACGATGTGCCGGTGTACTACCGCTTCCGCGTCGTGAACATGGACCCCGTGGCGTCGCTGACCCCGGCGCTGGACCTCGACGAGATGAACATTGGTGAGCGTAAGACGACCAAGCTGCCCATTGTGAATCAGTGCAACTCTGTCCTTCTGTTGCGGCTCTCCAAGTCGCGCTCCGTCACGGCAGGGCACATTCGCATGGAGAACTCCGACCGCAAATCGATCTACTGCCGCATCCGCCCCTACGCGACACGCGAGGTGGAGCTCTCTTTCTACCCAGGCATCAAGGGAAGTTTTGAGGAGCGCATTCAGCTCGTCAACGTGCTCGACCCCTCCAATGAGGTCATCATGACAATGAAGGCAACCGTCACCAAGGCAGAGACATTTGATGTGAGCCCTGACTCTTGGAGCTTCGGCCTCGTGCAAGTTCCGCCACTGGTGCCACTGCACCAACTCCAGCACCAGCACCAGCACCAGCAGGGGAGTGGTGCGAACAGCAGTGCTGCGGTGGCAGCACCAGACGGTGGCCCGCCAGCAGCACGTGTTGGGGCACGCTTCACGGTGTCCAACACGAGTGGCTCACGCTGTGCGTTGCGACTGAAGCTTGGCACCAACGCTGGCAACAGCACTGCTGTCAGTGGCGGCACCGCTAATAATGGCTCCAGCAACCCAAACGCTGGCGAAGGCGTTGCGGGATTGGGGGACCGTTTCTTCAAATTCGACGGCATCGACGTGCGGCTGCAGCTTGAGATGGAGCATGGTGGCTCAAGCTCCGGCTCCTCGCGGAAGCTGGAGGAGAAGATTGAGAAGCTGGAACAGAAGCTTAAGATTTACCGCCGCAAGAACAAGACAGATAAGATGGAGGCGGCGATGCGCCAGATCGATGCGCTGAAGCGGGCCCTCATGGGTGAGGAGGTTGACCTCAACGCCACACCACAAACGAACGACGACACCAACAACAACAGCAACAACAACGGCGGTGGCGGTGGTAACAATAGTGAGCAACAACAACAACAGCAGCCGTTGCGGCTGTACACCTCGCTCTCCGAGAGTGAAGACGAAGCGACACCGGCAAAGCCGAAAACGCGTCTTCTACAGCACGCGGAACTGCTCTCGCTTCTGTTGCGTGACGGCATCGCTCTGCCTGAGATGAATGCCGGTGAGTCGGTCAGTGTTGTGCTGGGCCTCACGTGTACGCGGACGGTGGAGTGTATTCCACTGGCGCAGAGCGGCACCGTCACCTTCTTGCTATACGAGACCAAGGACAAGGAGGCAAACCGTGAGATCCCCGTCGACATCACACTCGTGCGCATGGAGGGTGAGCCGGATGGGGGCTTCACTTCAGCGGCAACAAAAACAGCAGCAGCAGCAATGGGAACGGCAATGCCAACAGCAGCATCGTTTGCGCTGACAGTATCGGGAACGACGAAAGCTGGATCTGCAGTGGTGACACAAGACATGTCTGCTGTGGTCCCATCGTTAGCGCCGCCCCTCAATGATATGGCGCACTCGCTCAGTAATGAGTTAATGACGTCCTTTGCGTCACCGATGGCGCCATCATCGTCTATCTCACTCGAGATTGGTGACGGTGTGGTGCCTGCCACATTTATGCGGTGCCCTATGGCGCTTGTGACGCACTGCGTTCCGTTTGAGGGGCACAAGTTTACTATTCTCGTGCGCGCCACTTCCAACACGTCGATTGTCGTATTGGAGCCCGTGCGCTGCTGCAGCAGCAACAGCAGCGGTGGGGGTCCTGCCGGCGCCCTCGCTGGTGCGGGCTCCCTCTCCTCGTCTTTTGCCGCCTCTGCACGGACGCTAGATGCGCACTTCAAATTTATCCCACGCAATGGTGCGGTGCGGGCGCTGGAGGCGTTGAGCATCACTGTGGAGTGCACGCCCGCCCTCGTCGGCCCGCAGCGGTACTTCATTCCCGTCAAGAACCTGCATCACGCGTCGGATATCAAGTACTTCGCGGTGGAGCTGCACCCAACGGCAGAGGAGGAGGGCCCCGCGCTGCAGGTATCGCCGAAGGAGCTGCTGCTGCGCGACATCGTCATGCCGTGCGAGGAGAGCCGCCTTGAGGTGCAGTCCTTCGTGGTGCGCAGCAGCATCACGCTGCCGCACGCGCTGCTCGTGCGGCCCAACCGGCCATCGCTGGTGGGGCTCTACAGGGACCCCAAGTGCACCGTGCCGCTGACGAACCCCGTGCAGCGCGTATTCCTGCACGAGAAGCTGCGCGTGTACGTGCGGCTGCGCCCCAGCGAGCGC